GATCAACTGACCTTTCTGGTTCAACTTGACTGAACATGCATCCACAAATGTTGAAAATGTCTTCCGTTTCCAGAAAATCCCTAGTCTGATTCCATCCCCAATAAGCACATCTCTTGGGCCATTCAATCGCTACAAAATCGGCTACTTCCGACATCCGTAAGAAACCTTTCCATAGCTTCTTCTGAATCTGGTACAATTCTCGAAGATGACCCATATAGTCCTGACCAAATTTCTTGATGCAAATATACTGAAACGGACATCCTCCGGTGCACGGAATTGACGACCACAAGACCAAGCTTTCCTCTCTTCCTGTGGCTCACCATCTGCTCTCGAACTGACTCGACCGTGTCCGAGCGGGTTCCGTCATCCGCCTCTGTGACAGTCAAGACTTCAACACCTTCTGTTCGGTTTCCGACTTCTTTCATCTCGGACTCCGGTGATGTGCAAAACTCAACAATCAGGATTTCGGTACATGTGATTATCCATGACCCACAACCATCTCCCGATCCAGTCATACGGCACTTCGAATGAAATGAGAAATGCTCTGACAACTCCGATCGTCTCCATATGTTTGTAAAGTCACAGCTCTCGACAATGCCTTGGTCATCAGGTCGGCACAATTCTCGGTGCCTCGGACAAAGCTGATGGAAATCGCTCCCTTGTAGACTGCATCTTGCAAAAAACAGATCCGAATGTCTATGTGTCTCAATCTTCTCAACAACCCTGACATCTCTGTGACATTTCGGGCTGCCATCGAATCCGTAAGCAAACCTGGAATGGGCAATTCCTCAGCTTGACATCCATACACATGTGTCACGGCATGTTGAATACCTATAGTCTCTTTCGCTCCTTCAAACAAAGCATATAGCTCTGCCTCGGCTGAACTACAGGCTACACTCTGCTGCAACCTACTGAATGCTTTGACACAACAGTCACTAACCAAGATGGCTGCTCCTGAAGTACTTTTCCGGTTTGTGGACTTTTCGGCTGCCCAACTGGCATCGACATATGTTGTAATCCTTGGTGGTCCTGAGTACTCATAGCTTCTGAACTTCAACTTTCGATCGGCTACTGATCGGATGTAACGGATACTCGCACGCATCGCAGTCTCGTGTACAGCTAGCGGCTGAGATTGGCCTCGGGCAAGCATCGAACACAACCAACAAAGATCAGGCCTCGACTGAGCTACCCAACCTAGTTTACCTAGCGCGGTTCGAAAAGTTGCTGCTGCCTCGGGCGACAACGGCTTCCGATCTTCTTCCCGATCACGGTCATAAAGCTGAAACAAATTGGGGGCTGCTTGACTTTCCTTTCCTCCTGGATACAAGCTCATCATACCTTCATAGTACTCCTTCTCCATGAACAAGGCAATCGTTCCATCTTCTTCCTTTTCGATCACCTTTCCCAGAAAACGAATTCTGTCTTCTTCAAGCTTTCCGGTGACCTTCAGTCTAAGCTTCTTCGATAACTCATCAACGAGCTTCTGAATATTCCGATCGTCTCCGACAACCAACAAATCATCAACATACATCAAAACGATCAAGCGATTCTCCTCTTCCGTCTCTGCAACTCCTTTTCTGTATCTTCCGGCGAAGATTGTCTTTTCCGTCACACATGCTGTCAAACCTTCCTGCTCTAACAAGTCGGCTAGGTGACGATACCATGACATTCCTGCAGAACGAAGTCCATTCATCGCTTTCTCAAGAATGACGAACAAAGGCTCTCCGTCTTCATCTTCCATCCCAGTCGGCAACGAAACGACCGCTGGGTGAATCACGGGAGCATGCAAGAATGCTGTACTTACATCTAAGACCCATGCTGTCTTTCCAACTCCTCCGTTCTTTGATTTCTTTCGAAAACTTGATTTCTGAGCAAGATAAGACAACACCACTTTCAACGCCTCTGATGACGCTGTAGGGCTTGAAACGCCCAACTCGGCTGCTGACGGACCTGTGGCGAAATCACGGACAACAAGTCTCGATCGAACGATGTCTCCTTTGATAGCATCATGCTTATTTACAACTACCCATCGAGTTGAGATGATTCGGATACCATGCATCTTGCAATACTCTTGCGCTTCATCTTTATTCACGACCTGGCCTGTCCTGTGCTTCTCTAGGGCAATGACCTCTGTGTCGAACGTGGCGTCCACATCTAATGGACCTTCACCTATATCTGAAGTCGCTCTTGATGGCTTTCGGAGTACAATCCATCTACCACCAAAACACACTTTGCAAGAATCGGCCTTCGTGTCGAACTTGGACTCTTCGGTTTCCTTTGGAACCTTCCTGCTATACTCAAGTACCCCCTCTTGAACTGATGACAAGAACCTTTCAACCTCATCATGCGAACATCTTGACAAGGGGTCTTTCACTTTTTTCCCACAACTCTTTACCTAGATCTGATAAGCTCGCAATGGCATTACCTTGATGATCATACATGTAGAGCTGCTTGATTGGCAATTCGGTGAACCCTTTCCAATGACGCCTCAATGGCACGGTCTGAGTTCCGAACTCGCTGACATGGACCTTGAACTGGTCCCTTGGAATCTCGTCGACTGGCCTTTCATCAACAGCATCGACGTAGTACGTCCTCTGAATACCTACCAGCTGATCCTCAGGCATCGGCAATGGCAGTGATGATGCTGCAAAAACATATTTTCGACTTCTGTGGTGAACTCTTCTCAACACAAGCTTGTCAAGGTCAACTTTCCAATGGTCATGATTTCGGTCCTTTCCTCTTTTTGGAATCTTCTGGTACATATCAATGTCCATGGGACTCTCACCGGGTGACTCGGGTGCTCTGAACCCTTCCGGTACTTCTGTTGGCTCATAGCCTTCACTCATCCGATCATCCTCGATAGGTTCCGGATTCTTTCCGATCTTGTATGGATTCGGTAGATCCTCCTGCATTGGTGTCGGTTCTGTATCCACTTCCTGTCCCTTTGGCGCATGGAATGGAACATCATCAAACTCTGGAAATCTCTCTCCGGTCTCTTTCTCTTCATGCTCACGATGAAATCTGTCCCATTCTTCGTCTATAGACTTTCTTTTCCTCTTCTCTCGCTCTGACTCTGACTCTGGACTTCTTCTTCCCGACTCTGGCTGAGATCCAGACTTTCCTTCGGTATCCAAACCTTCTTCCAATCCCTCAGGCACGACGGGCACAGACGACTCGTCTTCAATCGGTACTATCCGTCTGTACTCCTCTTCAAGATACTTCTTGTAACGGTTCCGACACTTAACTGAATGACCCGTTTCACTCCCGTTCGAACAAGTCTTATTCACTTCACTCCAATACCAAGGTGGTTCCCCTTCATGGATGGGCAAATCAACCAACTTCTGGGGTTTCGAAAGATCAGTCGGTAGTCTTTCAATCCTGTCTGGCTTCACTCCACTCTTGGAATTTGGAATTTCACACAACATACTAAGTCCAGCGACAAAACGAATCGGTTAGGCAATCTTCAAGTCTCGAACACGCACAACTACGGTCTCATCCTGCGAACCTTCGATGGCAACGAAGTGACCTAACGAAGATAACTTGGGGGTCAAATAAATGCCTGGAACAAAATGACGAGCGTTTGCTTCTTTCTCCAAGTACCCATCAGTCGGCCTGGCAAAAACCAAACATCCAAATGGCATCACACGAGTGTTGTTTGGAACTTCTCCTGAGTTAGTTACACTGATGCGCATGCGTTGATACGGTGTCAGTGAACTGTTGGCTTGCAGCTGAAACGCATTGTGGACATGGCAAGCGTTTGCTGCGGCGTACCGAAGGCTTTCACTACCTAGCATCAACCCGCGCTGGTACAACACTGTACGTATACATCCTAGTTGAGTCTTGAGGGTCCTCACTGCTCTCTCGGCTCCAGTTGCGTGTCTTCCTGGACGACTGGTCTCATGCCTTGAGACGACCTTCAACCGAATGAGTTCAGAAATGAGCGCAGTCAAGTCACGGCCTTCATCGCTGAGAACCATCGCACCTGTGGACGAACAATGGTTGATGGCAGCTGTCAAAACACGAATCGTCGAAGCTTGGTCTACATAGATTGCAGCTGTTGCTATCATACCATGCATCCGATTCAAAATCACAACATACCTATACATATTTGGAGACTTTGGATGAGCGCATAGGTTGGCAATATCCATCTGGACCTCGTTGGTGACTTGATCGGTACGTTTTGGCGCTCGTTTCAATCCCTTGCTCATGAGACAGACTGCACAGCTTGGATCATAGGGTGTGTGACTCTGCAAGATGCGCTTGGCTAGTCTGTTACCTTTCAAATCGACGGGATACTCGAACTCGGGCTCCGACTCAGCAGCGCATACGATCTCCTTTTTCACATCTCGAGTGCGCAAAGCCTCGAAGACCACACTCTCTGCGAAGTGGTTGCATTTCGAAAAATGCGCTGCTCTTATCGCGGAACCTTCCTCCATTCTGGAGGGCTCCTGAAAGTCCCTTTCTATACTTCTCGGGACGCTTCTTCTTCTCGGACTCGGGCACCTCGTCCGACAGCTTGGCAAGACGCTCGTGCAACTCCTTGCGGTAGCTTGCCTCCTCTTCTGAGATCGGCGCCTGAAGCGCCTCTGGCGGCATAGCGGGGTTCGCTACAGTAATCGGCGATACCGATGCCGCTACACCCTTCTCGCTTTCGCCAGGTTCTCTCGATCTTCTTCTTCTGCTCTCCATTGCAGGAGCTCTCGTTTTCTCTTCTCGAACTCTTCCTGTCGCTGACGCTGGATCTCCTTTCCATGTTCCAAGGCCTGGGCCATCTTCTCTGATCGATACAGCGCCTTCGCCTTTCGGCGATCTTCCTCTTCTTTCTCGCGACGGGCAAGTTCCTTTTCCCATTCCATCGCTCCCGCTTCTCTCTCTGAGGACAACTCGGTGCGAAACAGGTGGGCTCTCTGATCTTCGGTCAGATTCTCCAGATATTTCGGTACCACTTTCTTCACACCTGAGGCTGATGCGGTGGATTCCTTCTCTTTCTTGGTCCGTGCCTCCTGAATCCGCCGATACTTCTCTGCGGCTTCCTCTTCCGCAGTGAGGGTCGCGATACCCCTCTTCTCTGCCTCTCTTGAGCTCTTGAACGCCGCCGTCGCTTTCTTCGCCTCGGTAAGCTTGGCCTTGTCGACCTCTCGGATCAGATCCTGGGCCTTCTGTGCCAGATTCTCCTCGGCGACTGCCTTCTGTTCCTCTGTCAGAGGACGGCTCTTGGCCTTTGGCTTGCTGACGGGCGGCGTCTTCGGTTCTGCCATAAGAATGCTTTTTTTATGTTTTTGATAAACAAAATTTATCATCAAAAAATAACACTTTTGTTTCCAAAATTACAAATATCATTTCCCAAAAAATAAAACAAAATCTATTATTGGAAACAAACGAATCTTGAGAGTGTATATAAGTTGTTGTTGGTGGTGGTGGTGGTGCAGGTCGTGGTGGTGGTGGTGTTGGATAGTTACTGAGTGTTCTGAGAGTTACTGAGAGTGGTGAAGGTGGTGGTGCAGGTGGTGGTGGTGTTGGAGGGTTCTGAGTGTTCTGAGAGTTACTCAAGTGGTTCAGGGTTCAATGATGCATGTGTACAGGTGCCTTATTGTGATCTGTGGTGCTGCCAATCCAATATTGAATGCAGCCAATCCAGTTTGAGTGTTTTCCTTCAGCTGAACACAATCGAACGATACCAAAGCTGCAGGGGAAGCAAAAGGGACCAACTTCATGGAATGGACGCTGTGTTTCCGGGCACTGTGGTGTGGTGAAATGAGTGATGGCGTACGACAGCTGTCTGTTCTGTAGCTGTGCCAATCTGTTTGTAGTTTGTAAGTTGAACAGAACAGCATCGCAGAATGTTGCGCAAAAGAACGTGCAGGGTTCATTTGCACATATGATTTTTCGCTTTGCTTTGAAAGAATTTTGAGAGCTTTGCTTTGAGAGTTTTGAGAGCTTTGCTTTGAGAGAGTTTTGAGAGCTTTGCTTTGAGAGAGTTTTGAGGGAATTTGTTTGGAGAGTTTGGAGAGCTTCCGAGTCGGCAGGCTTGATGTTCAGTAGGTTTGATTGACCCACACGCAGCAAGGGCTTCAACCTGCAATTTTGTTCGTCGCAGTATCTGGGCCACAAGTGCCCAACTTCCCAACAGTGGTTGATTGAAAGCGTTGAGAGGCTTAGAGAGACCAAAGCACTACATAACCCAAAGATTTCAAGAACTAACTAGAAACCCTTGAACGCGTTGAGCACCACCTTTTGATTTAGAGAGACGCGAAGAAAACGTCTCCGTATTCCATGGCTTTGAAAACCAAGCGCTCACGGTTGTCAGCTGATGGGAATGTTTCCATGTTCAACCTTCAAGAAGCATTAGAAAAGGGCATGGCAGAGACAGGAAGGAACCTACACCACATGGTTCAGCTGGCCAGAGAACGGCAACGCAACTGGACCAGCACGCCGAAGATCGCGTTGGGAATACTTTCCAAGTACACTGTTGTGTTCCGGGAATTGCTGATTTGTGTCCTAACACTGCGGTAAACAAGACCAAGATTGCGCAGGCAATCTATCAGTGCCATATAGATGGCGGTGAGGTGAGCAAGTTAGCCACCTTCAGCAAGGATGACGCTGACAAGGTTGGCGAGGTGATTCGGATTACCCTGATCAAACTTCGCAAATGCAGCGCTGATGAGAAACAGCAACTAACTAAGATCGAGTGTTCTTCAGAGGTTTGAGATGTTTACATGTGCCTGAGAGTTTTGACATCGAGTTACGAGGGTTTTGACACCGAGTTTCTTGAGAGTTTATGTTTTGGTTGTTTTGAGAGTCTTCGAGGTCTCTTTGTGAGGAGAATTTGGAAACTAAGGTTCCAACGTACTTGCAGCATGGCCACTCAGCACGAAATCCAGATGCTCAGATCTTTGCTGGCAAGTGTTCATTACAATGACAGCCAGGCCTATCCTTTGCATGTGACCCCCACCTGCGCTCCTTAGTTTTGTGCCCTGTATGCACCATGAATAGCGTGCCATTTTGATGTGGAGGAGGATGTTTGGAAGTCGCCTAATGATGATCTTCCCGACTTCAGCGCACTCGCCACATCCACTGCCTTTTGATTGATTTATCGGCGCAGAAGTTCTGAGGGTTTTTGAAATGAAAGTTTGAGGATGCTGCAAAACGTGAGGCAAGAAGTTCCAAAGATCCTGGAGTGTTACCTCTTGCGGTTGCTTTGTTGCATAATGTTGAGTTATTGTGACCCGAAATCTCGTAGATGAGCTATTGCAACCCGAGATTTTTGAGTTATTGTGACCCAATTTGTCACCAAGCCAGGAACCTGATGAGTCGGCGGCTTGGGTCGTCGACACCTGGAAACCGATAGATAGAGGGATGCTCCTTTACGGGTAGTCCAACTGCACTGGCAGGCAACAGTGCATTTCGTGGCACCCACAAGCAGCAGATCCCCATCATGCGACGGCACCCCGCCGGACACAGATGTGGAGCCTGTAGTGCCCTTGAGGGAAACAAACTCAGAGCTCTTGGTTCGACAGCTCTTGCAGGGCACATGGCGGAACACGGTTTCTGGCTCACAACCGCCACTGCTCCCCCTCCTGACTGTGTACAGATTCATTGCGGAGGCCTTGGAGGAGGCGCCTTGGGCGGGTCCGCTGCCCCCACCTTGACACCAAGTGGGGCCTCCCTGCTTGCATGAGGAGACTCTCTCCCCAAACCACGTCGCTGCAAATCCTTGATCTAGCAGTAGGCAGCACGGCCTCAGCGGACCACCTCTTACAAATGGCAGCCATGCCGCTGGAGCACAAAACCACTGCGCTAGGGATCCCCTATGCACGTCCAGTTGCCTATCACTTTGATGGTGCAGAGGCACTGCAGCAAAGCCTCTTTTCGTTGTTTGCACTGCTGATTACGGGGGATGCCCCAAGGCATTGTCCGTCGGCAACTGTGCCAAGCTGGAAGCTGTGCAAAGCTGCCCGCACTGACAGCGCCCATATCATGTCAGTAGCATTCTCCCTGGCAGCGGCTCTACAAACAGGAAGATCCACGCTAGCTGTCGCAGGCGTCTTTGGTGCGGGGAAAACGAGGTCCCTCACATTCCTCTTGGTCTGGTTAGCCTTGACAACCAATCTGAAAATTGGAGTGGTCCATAAACAAAACCCGGCTGGTCGTGCCATCACCAAGCTCCTAGGGTCGCTAGCCTTGGACAATGAGCAAGCAAAACTCTTTGTAAGAGCTATAAGCCGAGAAGAACACATGGCCAATGCAGCTAGTGCAAGGTATGACATTGCCATGCAGTACTGCTCAGGGGCCATCCCCAAGGCCAAAGTTGTGATTGCAACCACTGGATTGGTGTGGGAGCAAAAGGCACATATGCACTCGGCGCTGCGTGTACACATGGAGCAGGTTGATATTCTGGTAGGGGAAGAAGCGCAGCAAGATATGGACCTCAAGTCTGCGTTTGTCCCGGCCATTCCACGACAACCGTTCCTTCGGTTACTCTTTGGAGACCCAAAGCAAAGTCCTGGGGGAGTGGCAGATAACTTAAGAGAGCACAGAGCCCTCCCTTTGTGACTCCCTCGCGGAAGCGAAAAGGAGAGGAATCGCCAAGTGAGAAGCTCCGACGATTGAGCAGCCCTCGGCACTGGGACGTCGCCTTAGTACCGTTCCGGAAAGATTTTGTGCCGCTGCCCACGCCAACCGAAACCGGACTGGCGTGCCCAGCACCATGGGCCTTCCCACCTAGCCTAAGTGCGCCAGAACCTAGAGCAAGCAAGTTCCGGGTGTTGGCCAATGGCGGAAGCGGGAGACACTGTCACTGCTGACCACCTGCTGCAAATGGCCAGCCTAGCGGCAGAACACAAACCCACGGTGTTGGGCAAAGCCCCCATTGGCCTGTTAGCGGCACATCGGTGGTATATGCCACACGACTTGCCGGCGGTTCTATGCAACCTCTTACGCAGCAGCACAGAAGTTCCTCTTGACATGTTGTCAGAAGCTGCAGAGGAAGCCAGTCGTGGCCGTCTAGGAGGGCAATGGTACACAGAACAGCACTGCCCCAGCTCCTCACCGGTCGGAGCAGCACTACAAGCAGCCCACAAAGACCTTGGCAAAGTCGATTTCAGCACACCAGAAGGCCTTCTTGCCGGCCTCGGATATGCCATCACGAGGCCGGTGCACTGCTACCAGTTCCAACAAGCCAACCTCGCTTCGGACAGATCTGGCGTGTCAGGTGTCCATCAGTGGAGTGTAATGCTCCCGACCAGCGCACGGGTTGCGCAGGAGGTGTACGAACCTCTCATAGGCATACAGTACCCTATGCTTTGTAGCTGCAAAAACGGACGATGGCAAATAGGAACAGGATCCATACGTCTTAATGTACAGCAGTCCTGTTGCAGAGCTTGCATGCCTTCTTCCAGTTGCTGACCACAGGTGGTACTCTACAGCACTGTCCTCAAGCGGCTGGTTTTGCTGTTGCCCTGGGCACAGCCGCCCAGCAAGATAATGGCCACATGGTCTCAATGGCCTCCAGCCTGGCGCTGGCTCTCCGATCTGGCAGATCTTTCTTGGCAGTAGCAGGTGTCTTTGGCGCTGGTAAAACTCGATCCCTGACTTTCCTCCGCCTGGCTGGCTCTTACCACTCACCTCAAGATTGCAGTCGTGCATAAAGAGAATCCGGCTGGTCGGGCCACCAAATTGCTCACTGCTTTTGACCTGGAGCCAGACCACCAGAGATATTTTATTCGGCCAGCCAGTTAGCAGAGAAGAGGCAGAAACTAACACAGTCTGCACTGCCCACGACCTGCGTGCAAGCGACGCGGCTCCATACATCCCCGGCTGCCATGTCGTTATTGTCACTACTGGGCTTGTCTGGGACCAAAATGGAGAATGTGGACCTGCTCATTGGTGAAGAAGCACAGCAAATCGCCTTCGCGCCGACAGTTCCCCGACAACCCTTGCCCAAGAAGTGCATGGGCCGTTAATAGGAATTCAGTATCCCATGTTGTGCAGCCGTATGGGAGACACCTGGCAAATAGGAACCACCTCCATTCGAGAGGATCACCTGATTGCCTCAGCCCCAAGATTTGTCCACTGGTGCCATGCTTCGCCCAATGTGAATGCAAGGAAAAACCCAAGAAGATGGTATTCTGCGAGACAGACTGGTAGAGGGCCCAACCACATTGGGTGGAGCAGAAGCGCCTGCTGGAAGACTATCGTGGCTTGCGCAACCTGTGTGGCTGTGAGGTCCAGCGAGCCTCGAACAGTGGGTTCTTTGTTG